ATATATATTTTTTTTTTTGGCTGTATGCTGCCCAGATCACTTCTTGTGAGGTGGGTGGCCATATAAATTTGATAAATAATAGTAGTAGTAGTAGTCGTTGTCATCATCATCATCTGCCTACCATGGGTCCTTGGAAAGGACTTGATAGGTGGATAAAAATGCCAAATCCAGCTGACAGTGTGACCAACCATCATCATCATCATCATCATTTCTGAAGTAGTGAATCACCTGTACTTTAAGGGGAATTGAGCAGCATAATGATTTTAGACTGTATTTCCACAGCAAATCTAAGAAAGATTCCTTAGAAGCTTGTTAAAGGCTTCCCTGTAAGAAAATCAGTGAGGACAAAAACACTATTCAAGAAAGGAAGCCTGCCTACTACCATTAATTACTTTAGTGCAACTTATAGCCCTTAATGATTTTTATGGCAGAGCCTTCATTTCAATGGATGATGGGTAGAAGGACAAGGATACAGTCAAAATGAGTAGGGATTGGATTAGATGTGCCAAAGGGAACCCTAGCAGAACAATTAATCAGAAAGAGGTAACCAGATGCTGAGCCATAGAAAACGAAGACTTCATTAAATGTGTTTGTAACTAAAACTTTAACTCATTTGAAGTCTGAAATACTTTTTCTTCAAGAAAAGAGAAATGAATAATTTAGAGAAACCCAAATCACCCTGCACTGTTAAAAGGTCATTGTTCATACAACCTCTTGCATTCAAGCAAAATACCAGAATGCAACAGCCTTTCAAAATTAACAGGAAAAATCTCAAACTTTTCTTCAGTTCGTAGTCACACCTATTAAACCTAAAACGTCTGGCCCTGCCAAGAACACAGACTCTGTGCAATAAGCTTTTATTCAAAATGTCAAGCAGGTTTCTGAGAAAATAAGTCCTGAAGTAAATTGATATGTGTATTCCAAGAAGTAGACTCTTTAAATTACAAAATATGACAGACATCAGAAAGGGGTGGAGGACAGGGATTAGCAATGCACCTCTTTAATTCATGTTATCTCTATGAGCTACACAAAAACTAAAAGGTTTATACAGCTATAGATCTTCTGAAATCAAAGGATAAGATAGAAATCCATCCCCTTTAATCCTGATTCCTGTATTTATGCAAAGGGGTGGGGATGGGGGGACAGAATGCAAATGGAAGAGGAAAGACTTTGAAGAGCAGCTTGTGCTTGATAAGCTGTTGAAAAAAATAGTCTATAGCGGTGTTTCTCAACCTTGGCAACTTGAAGACACATGGACTTCAACTCCCAGCATTCCCCAGCCAACATAACATGGCTGGCTGGGGAATTCTGGGAGTTGAAGTCCACGCATCTTCAAATTGCCAAGGTTGAGAAACACTGGTCTGTAGTAAACAAGGTAAAGTAATTGCTTGCTTTGAGGTTAGGAAACAGGGAGTGCTCCATGTTCTCTTCACTAAGGTGAATTTCAGGAAATATTATTCTATTTGCTGCTCCTTACTGTTTAGATAACCCTAATCACTCAATTTCATCATCTACTATAGTGGGGCAAAAAAGTATTTAGTCAGCCACCAATTGTGCAAGTTCTCCCACTTAAAAAGATGAGAGAGGCCTGTAATTTTCATCATAGGTATAACTCAACCATGAGAGACAAAAT